GGCCCTGCTCTCCCACCTCGGCTCTGCTCTCCCACCTCGGCTCTGCTCTCCCACCTCGGCTCTGCTCTCCCAGCTCGGCTCTGCTCTCCCACCTCGGCTCTGCTCTCCCACCTCGGCCCTGCTCTCCCGGGGCGACTGAAGCGGGGGGCTCCTCGCGCCGTCGAAGTGCAAAAACACGCGAAAAAAAGACGCCGGAATCTCGCCCGCGTCCCTCCACCGCGGCGCACCCGCGGGCACGCTCGTAGCGACCGCGCCGCCGCCGTCCGGCGGGGGCACGGCCCAGCTCTCGAGCACGCGGACGCCGCGCGCGGCGAGGTGCTCCGCGGCGTAGCGCCGCGCGGCGACGCAGTCGGCGAAGCCCGGCAGCAGGCCCGCGACGGGGTCCGGCCCGACGCAGAGCGTGACGCGCGCGCTCGCGTCGGCGGTCGCGCCGGCCGCCGCGCCCACCGGCGCCGCGAGCGTCGCGAGCGGCTGCCGCGATCCGTTCCCAAAGTACTCCGCGAGCTCGGCCGCGAGCTCGACGCCCGTGAGGCCGCCGCCGACGATGAGCGCCGACGTCACGTTGGGCCGGAGCACATCGGCGATCTGCGCCTCGAGGCGCTCGCGCCGCGCCGCGACGCTCCCGGCGTGAAGCCGGTCGTCGGAGATCGGCGCGAGTGACGCGCCCGTCGCGAGCACGGCGTAGTCGCAGCGTATAGAGACGTGGCCGTCGCTTCCGGCCGCGCCGACGTCCAGGGTGAGCGCGTCGTCCGCGTGTGTGATCTTCGCGGCGGCGCCCGGCGCGACGCGCGCGAACGTCGCGCGCCGCCCGCGGAAGAGTTTCGCGAGCGGCTTGACGAGGCGCCGGTGCTCGTGCGCGTCGACCCAGGCGCGCAGGATGCCGGGCGTGTACTCGAAGTAGTGTTTTTGCTCTAGCAGTATCACTTCGCCGATGGCACGGTTGTTTTTGAGGCGGCGCGCCGCGGTGAGGCCCGCGAAGCCGCCGCCGAGGACGGCGACTTTCGGTTTTTGTCTTTGTTGCGGGTTGCGTCGCAGCGGTGCCGGGAGCCGCAGCGCGGCGACGCAGGTGCAAGCGAGGAGGTGTCGGAGCATGGCCATGCTGCACTGCACCAGATCTTAGCAGGCAAGCCAGCGGCGCGCGCGCCGGACGCGTCCTCTCGCGCCGACGCCCGCGCGCGAACCGCGGCGCGATGGCCGAAGCTCGGTGTGTAGCCGGCAGCGCCTCGGCAGGAGCGAGCATCTTGGAACACGCGCGCGTGCTCGTGTCGTCGCCGCCGCGCGCGGCGTGGGGCTGGCGGAAGGAGCCCGCGGCGGGGACGCCCGAGGCGGCTTGCTTGGCGGTGCTGCGGGAGCCGCGGGCGTGGGTTTCGTCGTAAGAACGGGGAAGAGCGCGCGTCTTGGCGCGCGCCGCGTGACCCCGCGCGCGCGGAGCCACCGCGGAGCTTCCTGCGCGTGCTGCGGCGTGCCAAAACTCGACACGCGTCTAGATGAGAGAGAAGATCGTCGAAAAAAAAGAAACAGACGTTCATTTTGCCAAAAAACTCCCTGACGGGGAATCGAACCCCGGCCGCCTGCGTGACAGGCAGGAATACTGACCACTATACTATCAAGGATAGATCGAACCGCGGACGCCGAACGAGGCCGGAGAACCGCGAATCTTTTTGTTGCTGATTTGTTGTGGAAATCAGCGAACATAGTTTCGCAAACGTGGGCAGCCTCGTGAAACTGCCGGGCTGCCATCCATTGGCTCCACCACACGCCCAAGCCGTGCGGCTGCCACACGCCCAAGCCGTCGCGGCGGCGCGGGCGAACGAGCCGACGGCGCCGGCGAACATGCTGTCCGGCAGCGCTTGGACGTGACGGCTTCGTAGCACATCCTCGAATTAGAAGACGGCGACGGCGATGGAAGGCCTGCTCGAGAAGCGCAGCTCGGACGGAACGCGCGGCGCCGGCGTCGAAGAGCATGAACGATGCCGAGGATGGACGACGACGCACGACTCGTTAGGTGGAAGCTCCAGAACTTCCAGCTCAAGGGCCGCTACTTGTTCTACGCGGAGCCGCGGCCGGGCAGCAAACCCGCGCGACTCGATCTCGGCGACGTGATGAAGATCGAGATCGCGAACCGCGCCGCGCCGGGGAGCCCGAAGCCGACGCGCGAGCCCTCGTCGCCGACGCCCGAGCGCAAGGTGCTGTACATCTACGTCGACTCGACGCGACGGCATCGACTGCGCGAGCTTCGGAACGGCTCGACGCCCGCGATCGACGACTGGCTCGACGCGCTCCAGGAGGCCATGCTGAAATGCAGGGAGTCCGCGCCGCCCATCGCGCCGCCCATCGCCGACGAGTCCTCCCTGGCGCCCGCCGGCGCGGCCGCGGCGTCTTTTTGTGACCATCTTTTTGTGGTATTTTTCGTCCGCGCGCTGTCTTTTTCGTCCGTGCGGTCGTCACGCGGCGCTTCCGCAGGTCGCGACCCGCCGCCACCCGCAGGCCCGGGCTTCTTCTTCTGCGCGTGCGGGGAGTAGGCGGTGGCTTTCTTTTTAGTTGCATAATTCTCTGGTCGCGTGTCTTGTCAAGTCTCCGAGGTCCTCTGGCTAGTCCGAGGGATCGTCGTGGGAGCGCAGTAACGAAGACCCCGCGATCCTGACTACGGGGTTAGCACATGAGGGCACTCGTGATCATATTTGATCTCTAAGCGATTAGTTAACTCACATCGGCGGCATAAGACCAGAGTCCGGCGCGACCCAGAATATCCGCTCATTTTGCGCAATCAACGGCTCTCATCGATCACCTTTAGTCGATGTGGGTCGGTGGTTGGAACAAGCCTTGTTCGTATAGACGATGATATGAATTACATATTATCGAGTGCAGTGGTTAGTACCCCTCGTTGTGGCCGAGGAAACCGGAGTTCGAATCTCCGACAGGGCACCATTCTTTTTTTTTCTTTTTTTGGGTTGGTTTTGTCGCGTTGTACTCTGTTTGCTGAATATCTCTGAATCCACGATGTTGTGGATCATCGTCACCCAAAAACCAGAAACACATCGTGCCGAGCACAACGTAAAACCTCATTTTGGTTAGGAACTAGGGTAAGCGTTGGATCTATATATTTCTTACTGTCTATCAACGCGACGAAGCGGGTGGTCGATTTCAAATCGAGCCCCCTGGTGTCCTGTGTGATCGCCACTGCAACTCGCAGCGGCTGACGACACCGCCAGCCGCCGCCATGATTCAGTTGCCTTTTCGCTCGTTTTTTTTTCTTTTCGAGACTCACCCGAGCACATAGGCCTTCGTCGATCTGGTATCGTTCGAGACAACAAATTGATCCCTCACGGGGTCGCAGCGGAACTTTTTTCGGACCGCGGTCGGCGGTTCGGTCTCTGTGGCCTAATGGATAAGGCGCTTGCCTCCGGAGCAAGAGATTCCGGGTTCGAATCCCGGCAGAGACTTCTTTTTTGCTTTTTGATGCCCTGAACGACGCCAAACGACTCGGACGCAAAAGCCACGATTCAGTCCCTTCGCGATGAGGGCAGGTCCTCAAGCGCATGGCACGCGCCGTGCAGTGCACTCGCCGCGCGTTTTATCAACCGCGGCGACCGCGGAAAGAACGGCACGAGGTCCCGTCGTCGTCACGGTCGGCCACACGCGAGCGTCGGCGGCCCGGGGGGCGACGGCGCGCGAGAGCGTCGGTGCATCAGAAGCGCACCCGATCAAAACCACGCACTTCTCCACAAAAAAACATGCTTACCCGCCATTCTTCGCCCGCTTCGCCAAGGGCAACATGTCCTCGGCCGCCTCGCCCGCCTCGTCCGACGGTCGCCGCGGTCGCGACGTGACGAAGGTCGGCTTCGTCGTCGTCTTCGGCTTCGCGACCGAACGCGCGGCGGACGAAGACGAGTACTTTCGCAAAATGGCCGCGGCGGATCGCGGCGCAGCAGCGGGAGAAGCAGCGGCGCCCGAGGAAGAGGTGATGGCATCGATCGCCGGCGCCGCCTGGGTAGCACAAGCTCTCAAAGCCGCGTCTCGCGATCTCAAACACTCGCGGGTTCGCAATCATCTCTCAAACGCGCGCTCAAACTCGCGGCTCGGCGCGTGCGCTCCTCGGGGTCCAACGCACAGAGCACAAACGACGCTCTCAAATCACCACACTGAGCACCGACGATGAAGCCCTCGCCGCGCTCCTCGGGGGCTTTCGAGGCCGCGGCGGCCGTCGCGCTGTACTTCTTCAGGATCGAGCCGCCCCCCGCGCCGCCGCCGACGGTCACCTCCTCCCCCGCGACGCCGTCGAGCGCCCGGCTCCCGCGCCGCCAGGTCTTCGAGGTCTTGTCCGCCGCCGTCGACGGCTTCGGGGGCGGCGCCGCGCCTCGGAGCCGCGCGAGCTCGGCGTCGAGACCCTTGACCTTGGCCAGCGTCGTCGCGTGCGCGTCCGTGGCGCCCAAGGCGCTGAGCTTGGCCGCCATCTTCGCGTACTCGTCGCGCTGGCTCTGCTTCAGCGCGATCTCTCGCCGTTTCAGGTCTCGGAGCGTCGGCTTCTTGTCCGCGTCGGACGTCGCCGCCGCTGCAGGTCGCAGGGCGAGGACGTCGCTCGCGCCGGACGTCGCGATCACGTCGCTGGCGCCGGGCGTCGCGAGGACGTCGCTGGCGCCGGACGTCTTCGCCGACGCGAGGACGTCGCCGCCGCCGGCGCGCGGCGCGTCGCCGGAAGACGGCCGCGCGGCGTCCGCGGCGCGCGCCGAGCCTGCGCTCGCGTTCGAGGGCGCGAGCGCCGGGTCGGACATGGCCTTGTGTCGAAGCGCGTCACGCCGCCGTCGTGTCGTCGGTCTCGTCGCGCGTCGCACAGCTCGTCGCAATCGCTGAACGCGGTCGCTGATGGGCTGCGGCGGCGACGTGGAGTCTTTGGGTGTGCGTCGCCGGCGTCGCGGAACGGTGCGAGGTCGCGTGGCAGCGCGTTGCACGCGGCGCGGTGGTGGGGGACCAGAAAGCGCTTCGGCTGGAAACTTGGTTATACCCGATTTCATCCGGTGACCTACAACAAGAGCAATCCGCGACCCTGATCCGCAGGGTTTCGGGTCGCTGGTTCGATCCTTGATAGTATAGACGGTTCATCCGGTACCATGGTCAGTATTCCTGCCTGTCACGCAGGCGGCCGGGGTTCGATTCCCCGTCAGGGAGCTTCATGGCAGCGAAGACGGCGTACTCAGACGCGTCGATTGGCTTTCTTTTTGCTTTTTTTGGGCCCGTGGACCTTGTTTTGGTCCACGGGCGTTCGTTTTTGTCCGTGGGTCCTGTTTCTGGGTTCTTGAGCTTCGATTCCCCGTCAGGGAGCTTCATGGCAGACGCGCTTCTTTTTGCTTTTTTTTTGGCCCGTGGACCTTGTTTTGGTCCACGGGCGTTTGAGCTTCGATTCCCCGTCAGGGAGTTTTTTTGCAGAACGCTCTCTCTGCTTTTTTTTCGACGATCTTCTCTCTCATCTAGACGCGTGTCGAGTTTTGGCACGTTGTAGAATGCGCAGGAAGCTCCGCGGTGGCTCCGCGCGCGCGCGGTCACGCAGCGCGCGCCAAGACGCGCGCTCTTCCCGGTTCTTACGACGAAACCCACGCCCGCGGCTCCCGCAGCACCGCCAAGCAAGCCGCCTCGGGCGTCCCCGCCGCGGGCTCCTTCCGCCAGCCCCACGCCGCGAGCGGCGGCGACGACACGAGCACGCGCTCGACGCTCTCCGGCGACAGGCCGAACTTGACGCCGCGGTCGTAGAGGAGGTTGAACCTGGTCGACGGCGCGCGATGGTGTGAGGGGCAAAGTCGGGGGAGTTTGGGGCAAAGGACGCGGGAGGTCGACTCGACGTAGCGGCCGCGGCGTAGGTACTGCCTATGTGGATGGGCTCCGCTCGCGACATCGAGCTCTCCCACGAAAAGTACACACGTGGAAAAAGACACGGATACCGACCACTGCTTCTCCGCCTCGGACCACGCCTCGCCGCGCCGCCGCGCCGCGACGGGCATGTAGGGCCCGTCGTCCGCGAGCGCGCAGCGCATCAGCTCCACGGCGAAGTCGCCGGCCCAGGGCGCGTCCAGATCGTCGAAGAAGACGCCGCCGACGCCGCTGTGCTCCCGGCGCGCGGGCAGGTAGAAGTAGTCGTCGCACGTCTTTTTCATGTCGGCGTACGACGCGCCGTGCGCGTCGCAGGTCCGCTTCAGCGCCGCGTGGAACGCGGCGCAGTCCTCCTCGACGACGTAGGACGGCGTCAGGTCCACGCCTGCGTCGCGGCGCGGGAAGGTGAGGCGGCGCGGGAAGGTGAGGCGGCGAGAGCGACCGAGCGACCGAGGTTTTGGTTTTTTCGCGCGGCTCGTCCTGGGTTCCGCCGCCGCCACGGCGCGGGGACTGGCGCGGCCAGAAGTGCGGTAGCGAAGCCTCAAGCGCTCGCGGCGGAGCCCCCGGACGAGCCGCGCGA